TCTCCGGCGCCGTCCCCGTTTCTCCGCGGGGCCATGCGCCTCGCGTGGTGCGTGCTCGTCGAGGACGGCGCCGAGGCAGTCGGCGCCCTCGCCGCTGGCGGCTCGCTCCGCGCCACCGGCTCGGCGGCCGACCTCGTCGCGCTCGTCGACGACCCCGTGCGTGGTGGCGCCGCCGCAGAAAACGCGCCGGACCCGGGACGCCGGCGCGGTAGGTGCCAAAGCGCGCGAGACGGGTGAGGCCGACGCCCCGCCGACGCCCTGCCGCGCGACGCTCCCCTGCGACGCGCAGGCGCTGCGGGCCGGCGGCTGGAAGCTCATACGCGCGCCCGCGAGGTGGCGCCTGTTGACCCTTGCCCACCGTCGAAGCATCCCGTGTACGGCGCGCGTCCGCAGGCCCGTTACAACGCCGCGCGCGCTCCACGCGGCGACGCTCGCCCTCGAGCTGGCCGCGCGCTTCGACCGCGTCGCGGTCCTCGAGGCCCACACCCTCGCGCTCGAGGCCGTTGACGAACTCTTCCGCTGCGACAAGCTGTGCGTCGCACCACCGCGATTGGCGCCGCGCCGAGAGCGGCGCCGCGGCTTCGGCACCCGTCGCCGCGCCCGTACCCTTCGCCGCGCCAGGCTGTGCGCCGTCCACGACGGCGCGGCGCGCGCGCCCTTTGACGCGCCGCTGGTGATGAACCTGCGGCTGCGCGACGGCGAGAGCACCAGCCTCTTGCGCCACTGGCTCGGCGGCGACGACGGCGACGCGTTTTTCGACTGCGGCTGGCTCGACCCTCTCGACGCCCGCACCGCCGGCGCCGGCGGCGACGATGGCCGCTGCGCGCGGCTGCCGTTTCGCTACGGCGCGCGGCCACTCTGGCTCCTCCTCAACGGCGACCGCCGCGACGCGACGCGGCTCGTCCGCGCCGCGAACGCGCCGCCGCCGCGCTTCGCGGAAATGCGCCGCGCGCGCCTCGTCCACCTCGCGCTCGGGCCCGCGCGGCCCTGGCACTGGTGGGCTGCGCCGGTCATGCCCCTCGCGACGCTGTGGCGCGCGGCGCTCCGCCGCGCGGCGCCGGCCGCGACGCCGGCCGCGGCGCGGCGCGCCTCGAGGAGCCGCGCCAGGCTCGGCGTCGCCTGCGCGGGGCCCTGGGTCGTGGTCGGCGCCCTCGCGGTCCTGCGGTGGGGGAGGCGGCGGGCGCGCGAGGACCGACCGCCCAAAGGCCCGCGCGCGGACCGACCGCCCAAAGGCCCGCGCGCGCGCTCGCGCTTCGCGGACGTCGCCGCGGGCCAGCTGGCCCTGCTCGGCGGCGGTGCCCTCGGCGCCTACGCCGCCCGCGGCCACGCCGCGGGCGCAGCCTGGGGCGCGTGGCGTCTGGGGCAAGGCGACCTCTTCGGCTCGCCGGCCGCGGGCGCCTGCGTCTTCTACAGCACGGCCGCCGCCACCGCCGTCGCGCTCCAGGCCGCGTACCTCTGCTGCTGCGCCGGCGAGGCCGCGCCGCCGCGGCGGAGGACCGCCGTCGAGGCGGCGCTCCTCGGCTCTGCCGTCGTCGGCGCCGCGCTCCTGCCCCTGTGGTCAGTCGATCCCTTCCTCTGGAGTGTCCCCGCACGAGTGCCGCGGCATAGGCCGCTGCCGCACGTGGCGCGGGCGCTTTCGCCACCCGGCGGCGCCCCAGACCCGTCGTCCATTGTCGACGCCGCAGTGCCGCTCGCCGTGGCGCTCGTCGTCCTCGCCGTCGTCGCGCCGCTCGCGGCGCTGCGCCTCGGCGAGCTCCACCGCGCGGCGGCCAGGCCCGTGGCCGTCGACGATAAGCGCCAGCAATAAGGACCCTCCGTTCTGTGACCCAAAGCGAGCCGCGCTCCGTACTTCGCAGCGAATCGATGCGGCGGACGCCTTTGGAGAGCATGCGGCTCGGTCCACGCCGCAGGGTCGCCCGGGACGCGTCGTCCGCCCAGCCCGCCGCCGCGTCGGGCCAAGTCAAAATGGGCCGTCAAAAGGACCGTCGAACTTCGTCGTCCGACACTGTACAATCGAAGCGCGATGGTGCCTGCTAGAAACGTACTCTGCCACGCCACCGAGCCGCCCGAGCCGCATATTCTGAAACTCGAAATGACTGCCCGTGCCCCGCGTCGAACGTTTCAGTCACCCGGGCCATACCTCTGGATCAAAGCACTGCGGCTGTGGGTCACATCGAAGCGGCGCAGAAGGATGCCTCTTCTTCGATAACTGTGGCAATCGATGCGGATGGAGTAGCGCAGTCCGCCGCGTCCGCCTAGGACACGAAAGCACCTTTCACGACCTGGGTCGCCGCGCAGTCTATGGGCTTATGGGGTCCAGCCGACCCAATATGGGGTATGGGGCCCCATATGGGGCCCCATATTGGGTCCCATGGGGCGGCGGGGTTCCAGCCGGCGCGCGTCGCCGGCCACGTGCCGGCCGGACCCTGACGCCCAACCTTTTCCGCCGCGCCGGCCCAAGTCCCCACGTGTCGAGTACTCGAGGTCCGTCGCGCTCAGCGCGCCGACGGGCCGGCGCGACAAGTCCATCTCATCGACCTCGGCCACGTCGGCCATGCCAGTGCCAGTGGCCTCGAATTCTAATGGCGCGCGCTCGTCGGTTTCGTTAAACACACACCGTCAGCGTTTCGTTAACGGAAACTGCTCGCCGAAATTCCAGAGTGGCTTCCGTATGGGGCCCCACGGGGCCGTATGGGGTCCAACCTACCCAATATGGGCTTATGGGGCCCAATATGGGGCCCCATACGGCGACCCAGTTCACGACCGAGGAACGTCGCTGTCCGGCACTCTGCAGGTAAGGATTGAAGCGACAAACTATGGTCCCATGGTTTGAAACCGAGCGGCCCGATCCACGCCGCAGAGTCGCCTCGCATCCGCTCTGGACTCAAAGCCCCCGTCGTAAAAGCCGCCTCGAACGTCTGGGTCAACCGCGCCATGGCTATGGATCAGAGCACCGCGGCTGGAGATCACGCCGAAGCGGCGCACTGGGGTATCCCGCCTTCTTCAACTGCGAAAATCGATGCTCACAGTCGTCAAAGGCCGCCGCGTTCGACAAGGACACGGAAGGACCGTCCAAGACCCGCCTCGACGCTCCTCCGGCTCGTCCTGTGGTTCTTCTGCCTCCTCTGAGACATTTGCCACGCTGCGGGGCCAGGGCGCTCGCTCTCGCTGCCGTCGGACGACGCGCACCCGTCACCGCCATCGGCACCTCCAACTAGGGTCCCTGGATCCCAGGTATTGCCCTAAGATGGGGGTTTATCTTCTTCAACGCAGCGAATTAGCCAACAGCAGCAAAAAATAATTGATCATTATCGGGGGATTAGCTCAGGGGCAGAGCGATCGCTTCGCATGCGATAGGTCGCGAGTTCGATTCTTGCATCCTCCACAACTTTTTTGCTCGGCGAATTTACTTTTCAGCGATACAATACATAGTTTTTTCAGTACCCTTCCTTGTTCGTTTTTCATTCTCGAATCATCGGCGCTATTTGCAGCCGCGCGTGGACGCCAGACCGATTATCAAATAGCCGACTTGGGAAGGCCATTGGACCTAGAAGCGATGCGCCCCTTGCAGGATCCCAGAAGTCTGCGTCGTTCGAAAACGCTGCGATCCCTTCGCATCGTTCCACTGCCCGCCGCGGACCTCATCGTCTCGGGATTGGCATAGCCCCCCGCCCCGCTGCGCCTTCCGTGCTCGACGCCGCCCTGCGCGTCGGCTCCTGGCTTGCGCGCCCGGCCCGAGCGTGTACCGCGGACGCTTTGGACCCCAATCGAGCCGTTCGGTGGCCACACCTCTTGCAGACTCGGGAACGCGGATACCCACGGCGGCACGTAGTTGTAGCATCTCCGCAGAGTCGGCGGAGGGACTCGGCCGCGGTACGCGCAAGGGTTCTAGGAGGAGCGGCGACGTCTCCGGGGCCGAAGTGGACCTGTGGACCTCGAGGACGCTGCGTACCGAGTCGCGTGTGTCTTCCGACAACGCGGCCGGCCAGCATATCCCGTGAGTCGACCAGCACGGGGTGGGTCACCCGCCGCGATACGCCTGCGCGGTGGATCTGTGTGCATCCATGGTCACAGTTTCCAAACACGGGCTGCTGGCATCACACCAGCCTGTGTGCTTGATTTGAACCACAGTCACGGAGCTTGGATCCACGGCCACAGCGCGTCCACAGCCACAGCGCGGGTGACCAAGACGGGGTTTGGAAGGTGCTTTGTGTCCTGGGGAGACGACCCAGGATGGGGCTCGGGGCGATTCGGCACAGGCGCACGGGGGCGCATGTTTGCACGGAAGGAGGCACACGCTCATCCTCGGGTATAGGGTGCCGGAGAGCGGCGTTCGACGCCCCTTGGGCGCGAGTCCACAGCGTCCGCAAAGAGCGCGTCCTCGCGATCGCTTTCTCTGCGCACGCGACTGGGCAAGCGAGTCGAGGCGGGACGGCTCGGAATCGGCAGCGTCCTCTTCCGCGCTTCGCGATGCGCGCCGCCACCGGCGAGGGACCGGCAGAGTCGGACAGACCCGTCGAGGTTGTGGAATGGTGACACCCCCAGGGCTAGTACCCCGTCACAGACGTGCTCCGGCCCAAGTCGTTCGACGAACTCGTGCCCCACGTGCGAGACTCGGGTGGTGCGTCGCCGGCGGCCGGGCTGGAGCGATGCGTCGTCATCGCCCGCGCCGCGCCGGCGGCCGAGGCGCGGCCGCCACGTCCACGTCCGGGCGGCCTCCGCGCCGACGATCGTGCGGCTTCCGTGCCGACGATCTTGCAGCCTCCGTGCCAACAATCATGCAGACCCCATGCCGACGACCGTGCGGGCTCCGCGTCGACGACCGTGCGGACTCCATGCCGACGGCGACCGCGGCAAAGGCTGGATTAAACTCCGTCGTGATGCACATAATGCACGATTCAGGAATCGAAACCGGGATCTTCGCCAAAATGAGAATACAAGCATGCTGGTTAAATACCTTTGGCTGATGGAGACTACATCGAAAACGTCCACCAAGGATTGCCTTCGTAGCTCAGCTGGTCAGAGCATCAGACTGTTAATCTGGGGGTCGCAGGTTCGACCCCTGCCGAGGGCGCATACTTTTTTCTTTTTATTTCGTGTAAAATTGTCAGGATAGCGACTGTCATTCCTCAAAAACATCACTGCCTTCGTAGCTCAGCTGGTTAGAGCATCAGACTGTTATTCTGGCGGTCTCTTCATAAATGCGCAACAATTCCACCGATATCGCCTGACATTTCGCTATCAGCGATTTCAACACGGATACTCCGGGATCGTTGAAGTAGCCACAGAACTTCCATCTGGGGGTCGCAGGTTCGACCCCTGCCGAGGGCGCGCATTCATGTCCATTTGCTCTCTAGAATTGAAAAGGCATCTCGTCATCAACCATGTCGCTTCGGCGTCCGTCACCATTGCCTTCGTAGCTCAGCTGGTCAGAGCATCAGACTGTTAATCTGGGGGTCGCAGGTTCGACCCCTGCCGAGGGCGATATTCTTTTTTTGCTGCTTTTGGCCATGCAGTCAATTTAGGCGATTGGCTCTTTCATTCGCTTACCTGGCTGTTAGAGGCGGCGCTCACGCCCCTGCTGTCTTATTATTACCTGGAGTGGGGCTTCACTTTCCATCCACACGCCGATTAAAATGTTCATTACCGGACCTGAAAATGTGTTCAAAGAAAGGACGTCCTCGTGTGTGTGTGTGTAAAAGAGCTACTGGTGTGGAACCGGAGCGTCTAAGACCTTGCTCGCCGCAGCGCCGCCGAGCCGAGCCTGAGGTCGAAGAAATCGTCGGGATGCGCTTTTACGATGCGCGCACCGTGCGATGAGCGAAGCTT